AAGTAAATAAGGATATTTATTTTTGCACTGTTCGTATACCAGTCGATGATAACCGAAACTCTGATTTATGACTGATCATACGTACAGTAAAATAATTACTACTAAACACAGTGAGAATATAATGGACAGAAAAAAATTAACATCAACATCAGTTTTTAAAAACTCCAACCATCTGATCTGTTTATTCAGTGCTATGAAAGCTGTTAGCTTCTCGTCGGTTCCAATTGAAAATATATTTGTTTCAGAAGTTGTTTGGATTCTCCCGAAACCCTCCTCCACCCCCTCCACGTTACTGACAATAAATTATATGAAATTACTTATCTCAAAGCTGCAGCAAGAAAGCGACATTTGTTGTTACACTATTTAACCAGTCCTGCTGAATCATTTCAGTGACCCTTTTGTCCCTAATCTGAAAGCCCAATTTAATTAAAGAAAGCGATCTTTAACTGTTAGGGTAAGATATGCTCCGAGGCCAAACTTATCGCTTTCTCTGATTGGCTATTCCTCAAGAGACAACTTTGAACAGTGCAAAGCAAAAAGATACATATGACTTTGTGAAATTAATCTCTACAGAAGTTCTATAATGGTCATTTTAATGGTCATTTGTCTTCAGTTAACAGCCAAGTTTTATATGAGGTACACTTCATAGCTCTCATCCCATGATTTGAAAAATATATACTCTTAATGTCCTTAATGTCGGCTCTTCAAACAGCCAAGTCAAAGTTGGGCTAACGTTTCACTCTCAGTAGTATTTTTGCCAGTAAGTCTATGCCCCTTTTTTGTAAACAAAAATAAAAAATCAAGATTGTCAATTGGGGGTTTCGTAAATTATTCAGTTTAGCCGACTGTCTCTTCGTGGGACATTTTCGTGGGACATTTTCTTTACAAATGTCTTGACAAAAACCCCATACTAAAGTGCTAATGAATACATCTATAGGTGGCAAAATTTCAGTTAGAAAACAAAACAATCGTTTTCTCCCGCAGTTTGTTGAATCGGCCTCGCAGGAAGGAATATTCCGTTTATTTTTAATATACACACTACAGTCATACCAAGTCAAATGCTACAACATAGCGTTCGACTGACAAAATTGGCATCTTTGTTGAAGACTTCTGACATTTTTAAGGTAAGTTCGATTTCTGTACGCTCGTAGCGAAGCTTGGTGTCAAATAAGGTTCCTTTCATGCATGGGTTGTAACAGTAATTACTAAAATTACTAATCAGCAATGGTCTGCTAATGATTTTAGTCCATGGCCGATAATAACACAAACACTCTCTGGCACAATGACTGATATAACGAACTCATATACAATGCCCGAGGAATAACCGGGTCGAATTTCCACCGAAATAGATCTTCTGTTACTGGATCTTGTGAAACTAGTTTTTTCCCAGTGAACACATTAATAAGCAGTTAACTCGGTAAAGTTTTGGCAGCGAAACGGACTTGGCGCCGACCCAATTCATTATAACAAGATTGCGCTGCACTTAGTACCTCGTTAGACCGGCATTTTGCATTTTGCAAATAAAGACATATTGTTCGAGTGTTTAGAATAATAGTTACTTATTGCACCAAGAGTCGAGCCATCGTACCAAGTTCACAACGAGTTTTCGATGTTTTCTCGATTTATTCCTTTATTTTCGTACAGATCTGATTCGCGGTTAGCCCTCTAATGCTGATTTTCACGGTGCAGTTTGAGACCGTTTGAGTGAAATGAAGGCCGGTGTTCTGACCTGTTGTTGATAAGCTTGTAAAATTTTTCGATCACGACAGTCTTTGCATGGCTGCCTCTATGAGTTTAAACTCAACGAGCGAAGGGTATCCGTCAAATCTGGATGAAGTAATATAACCATGCTTTATAAGGTTTGGCCCCGCCGTTGATGCGGTGTAATAAAATTACATTGGAATAAATACTCACCAGCGGAACAAGAGTACAATAAGCAGCTAGCATTTTTCACTTGTGATCGAAAACACTACGCACGAGCGCAGCGAGTCCCTGATTAATGAACGGAGAATGTATCCGGCCTTTTTACTCGGTCAATAACTTCTCATTATACCGGTCTGAACAGTTCCAGGGTCTCAGATCAGTTCAGGATAACGACAAAACCCTTTTACTTTACTTTACCCGCTCAGTCCATAACTTGGGATCACTTTTTCCCCGGCATTATCGCTTTGTGCTAATACAAGCTTTACTAGCGTCAAAAACCTATTTATCATCATACGGCTAACTGGGAAGATGAACCAAATCCTACACTGTGATTGGGCAAGATGGGGCCTTCTTGCCCATCCGGCATTAATTACCCGCTATATTCGGCAAAAACTACTGTTCTTCATGTCACGTCTTATATCCTTTACTAGCTAGTGACTAAGAAACTCGCTCGGTCAAGTTAGTTAGGTCGATACTGGCATCATATTTGTGCACATTTATGGACTTCGGCTAGGTCTGGGTCCATAAACACGAAACCATGGTCAACAACACATATATATTCAATAATCGATTTCAAATTTTATAACCAAACACTAAGCACGTCAGATTTTGCAGCAAATAAGACAGAAAATAAACATGCACATAGTTACTATTGTAGGACACTAAACAGCAGTACAAACTAACCGAGATCAACAAAGGAAATTATGGCTCAGCAGCGTTGCTATCTGCAGCTGCGCATAAATTTAGAAAATTTGCAACTCTCTGAGAGTAAACCATGCACTCAAGTAACCCTCAGTAACCTTTCCGATTCAATGTTTTCACGTAAACATTATTGCGTTACTTGGGAGTGGGTGTTCATCTATTAGCAATACACGTAAAATATTTTGTCCCATATCATATGGACTAATTGATCCTATAATTTCAGATCGTGCACAACTAGCCACTTGTTTTAGGAACTGTATATTAGTCTACAAGACACCTTGCACGAACACATGCAAAAGCACAAGATCAACTCAACGTAAGTAGCTACATATCATTAATCCTGTTGTTGAAAGAGTTACGCGGTCATAAACACATATTATATAATAAAGATATAGAAAAAATAAAATTTAAATCTCGAAAAAAATGAGAAGTAATAATAAAAGAGCATTGACTCGAGCATAATTCTGAATCTCGAGAAGGTTTGTAATAAAAATAAGTACTTTTCAGATCTTTTCAAGCATATGATTATCAAGTAATTCTACTGATTATCATATCATGTTAAAGGAGTAATTATTACCGGGCAAGAATTTTCAAATTTTGTCAGCCAGTTATATAATTCACCCTTAACAAAGGTGAATAGCTAAGAGAAATCAATATTTTCACACTGGTTTCGCACGTGCACCTTACACTGAGGTATTGGTTTGTCGTTCAGTTGTCAGTACATTTCGAAAGGCGTTGTAAATGGGTTGAAGTTCTTATATTTATTATACCTGAGCTCCGAGAATAGCCATTTTTTCTTTGGTTTATTCATATAGAGTACAAA